AAAATGGTCCATTTATAGAAGATTTATGATGATTTACCGATCCAAAATGGTGATTTTTCATAGATTAAATGGTGCAAAACCGAAGCACGGGCCATCTATAGCAGTTTTCAATACCAGATGCATCCACCCCACCTGGCAGGTTTCTCTCCTGCTGTAGCCTCAGTCCTGGGTTCCGAGGAACTTTACAAACATGTTTTTTTTTTGTTTTCCATCGTCTGAAAGGTTGTGATTTATGATTTATGTAATGTTTGATAAATTTGGATACTTGGAACATTCATTCAAATAATGTTTGATAAATTTGCATACCTGGAACATTCATGCAAATTCCAAGGCTGCCAGGTACCTGATGAGTTGATATGTCTCCACCTCGCCCCAGGGTCTGCCTGATTTGTTGGGCCGCCAGTGTGGCTATGCAACGTCAAGGTGGGAGAAGAACACCGGGGTAGAGATGGTCATTGGTACAGTTGAAAAGTTTTGTAGACTTGATTCTATTTTTTTTCAACGTTTGGTAGGCACTTAAATTCGCCACTGTCTAGAAAGAAACTGATGCCGTATGTGGATTCGTGCTTCGATCATGGCTGTGGGTAAAAGCAAGATCCCTGGAGACTTCGGGTATCCACTTTGGCCAACCGCATGTGTATTACGATAAAGATCCGATGGTCCCATCTTGTCAGAGATATTGCCGGTTTATTGTTGCGCACAGGTCGTTTGCTCAAGGAGAGGGAAGGGCGAAGTTCGGCATGACCTTAGGGAAGGAGTCAAATGCCTAGGCCTTCCCCCGAAGCTAAGCAGTCGACAATACCGATACCGTTATGGATCCTATATGGATCCTCACGGAATTTCATTGCGAGATACACATATGTAGGAATTACTTGTCAATAGTCATTGAAGGAGCTGTTTAGGGCTTCATCACTGTTTCTAGTGACAGTTTGAACACAACTGGTAGTCATTTTTGGTGCCAATGTGCCCATTTCTACTGTTTCAATCCAAGTAATTCAAGTGTGAAGATGTTTCATCTGGTGCCATCGCCATAGGAGCGGGAAACTTCCATCCAAGAGCTTGAAGAGTTGACTGAGCATCGGCCGCTGACCTGGGATCCAGAGATCTGGAGTTTGATGAGTTTGTTTGGTGGGAAATGCCACTGGTCACCATATTTTCCTAGAAAAAACAAAAACACACACCTCTGCTTGATGAACATTCTTGAGTATGAAGATTCTATCTCTGAAAGCCAGGGAAACCAGAAATGGTACTTAACAACCATTGGTTATACAGCAACCACCAAGTGCTCCAAGGGTCATGCCGAGGCAGCAACAACTTCAGAGATGTGATGCTCAGAAGGAGTGGCTGATGCGGCTGGTGACATCTGTGACCTGTTACGATCCCATCCAACCATGGTGACCCTTGGGGCTGTTTCATTTTTGAACTGGGGAAGGGCTTTTGGTTTGTTGATGGGGGATGGTTGGAAGCAGCAGATCCATGTTTCCATCTGGTGTTTCCAGCGGGCAGGAGCATCTAAGTTGCAGCAGTCGGGCCTTTGTCTGCAGGGAAGCCGAGGTTGAGGGATTTGACCAACTGGGGATTTTGAAGGCCAACATATTCAAAATGGAGGTTGAAAAAACGAACGCCAATATCACTGGTTGGTGGTTTGGAACATGAATTTTATTTTCCCCAATAGTTGGGATGATGATCCAATCTGACTAATATTTCTCGAGGGGGTTGAAACCACCAACCAGATCATGATTTGAATTAGTGTGGGGGGGATGTCATTGAGAAGCAAGGTGAGTTTTACCAATGAAGGGGGTGATTGAAATGATTAGATCACCTCGCAGCCCTTAAATCCTTGCAGCACAAAATAGCGCAAACATCACGGCAAATCACTGTTGGAGGTGCTAGACAATTATAGATTATTTGTAACACAAGATAGCATAAACGTGTTAGTGACCTTTATGGACCTCGACCTGAATTACCACGTTTTTTTCTTTTATGAATAATAGATTTAATAGATGGTATCCTTGACGATCCTTGAAAGCATAAGGATGATGCTGTATCCATGTCCCCATTTCCCAGATGTGACTTGGGCTTAGGCAGAAGTATTCAGCACGCTGAGAGGTACAGGGTTTCCGTGTTCTTTACACGGTTTGTGCGTCAAATTTCATCGGTTTGGGGACCCGAAATCCCAATTTTGTCGTTGGGTACTGGTCAAAACGCTGGTGAATGCTGAATAATGATAATAATTATAGTAATTAAATGTAAATAAATGAGATCTGTCTTGGTGTGGATGTTCACCCCCCCTATCAATCGATGACTCCGTATTTATTGAATCATCCCCATATGTTTGATTGAACCTAATATTCGCAGTCTAGCAATCTGGGTACGACTAGATGCTCACTGCAGCGATCCCGATATTTCTATCAACACATGTGGCTTAAAAACAACTTTTTGCTGGCTGAACCTTCATGCGTTTGATGCTTCTTGCTGGTTGTATCCCCGTCTCTGCGTGACCACGAAATACAAGTTCTTGACACTTAAACCCTGAGCTTTAGTGGGTTTTGCAGGTGAGTTTTCTCTTTTTTCCCCTATAGTTTTTCATATTTGTTTATATGCTGGTTGGTGGTTTGGAACATGTTTTATTTGTCCATATATTGAGAAGAATAACCCCAACTGACTTTCATATTTCCCAGAGGGGTAGGTATACCACCAAGCAAATCAACTATGATTCACCATGACTACATGATATCATAACTATCGTTTAGATGCCATGGTTCATAATTTTACATGATTTTTTTTCACGGTTTAACCATGAAATCTGTGGAAGTCTCCCACTACTTGTACACCCGCCATGCACATCTATGGACCAGGCAGCTGGTTGAGGCGACATTTGGTCACTGGTGGCACCTGAACCAGGCCCATGCTGTGGCTATTGCGATGATGATGATGATGAGGAGGATGATGATGATGATGATTATGATTATGATTATGATGTTTATGATGACGATGACGATGATGATGATGATGGTTGTGATGATGACGGCGCCGATGACGATGACGATGACATTGATGATGATGATGATGATGATGATAATGATGATGATGATCATGATGATGATGATTATGATTATGATTGCGATGTTTATGATGACGATGACGATGATGATGATGGTGGAGCTAATGATGATGATGACGGGGCCGATGATGATGATGATGATGATGATGATGGTGATCATGATGATGATGATGATGATGATGACGATGCCGATGATGGTGACGATGACGATGATGATGATGGTGGTGGTGATAATGATGCCGACGATGACGATGACGATGATGATGGTGATGATGATGATGACGATGACGATGCCGATGACGATAACATTGATGATGATGATGATGACGACGACGATGGTGATGATGACGATAGCGATGACGATGACATTGATGACGATGACATTGATGATGATGATGATAATGATGATAATGATGATATATGGGTATGGGTGACAATTTCAACGCACTGGAGACCTACGGCTATGGGTCAGAACCAAATTGCCAAAGACCCCCCAAAATACGGTAGAAGTTCAGATCGGCAGATAGTCTAGAGTCTTGATGTTTGGAATGTGAATGACTTTGTCTCAGGGTAAACTGACCCAAGGGTTTTGGTGGTCATATTGCATCCGCCCCAAAGAGACGATGGGTCGGATCAATTTTCTTGGATATTTGGCAGGGAACCGATGGAAACCATGATTTTTGCTATAGCAACCCCCCCAAAAAGGATGTCAGGGTCACATCCAATCCTAAAATAGTGATAATTTCAAAACACACTATTTCTTGTGGGTAATACTATGTTAGGACCATGTTACTATATGACATCGGCTTTTCCAGCCATTTCTGTTCTGTTTATCCGAGACCTCCCACAGCCAGACGCAGCGTCGGCGGCAGCAAAGCCTACAAGCGCTGCAGCAGCGGAAGGGGTGGATGGCACTGCGACAAATGGTGCAGGTGGGGGGTAGTGGATGGGCAGTCCATGTTTGGTCGGTGGTTTCACCAACAATCCTACAAGGTCCCCAAATGATAGCAAAGTTGACGCGCATAACTAGGTTAATTTTAGATTTATGGAGGATATGACTATAGTTATTGGGGTTTATAGACTAACAGAAAACTGGGGGGCACCACTTTGTAGAATGTTGGGAAATATTGGGACAATATTGGAGATTTGCTGAAGTTGGTGATTTTGTCATTTCACCAATGGCAAATTCACCATGTGAGGAAACTATTGGGAATATGATATGTGTGGGAATATGTGTTTACTTTTTGTGAGGGACCAGTTCAAGCAAATCCCTCACAAAGAGTGTGAGTATCACCAGCAAACAGGATCAAACATGGGGAACATTATCAATTCATGTGTTGCTGTGTTGCTTTCTGGTTTCAATTAGATGTTCAATTTTGGAGATGCCGTTTTCCATCCTAACTTTGGAGATGATGAACACGACTGACCATGAAGATGACAGTGCTTCAGCAGTTGTTTTCCTTCGAAAGTCTTTGTTTCTATGGGGAAACAAAGAAAGATGATGATGAAGGATGTAACCAAGAAAAAAAAGGAGTTATAACCCTCAAATGGTTGGGATTTAAGACTGATTAATTGGATTTACAGTGTCAGGGAAATCTGATACTCACCATCTGTTGGTTGGTATCCTTTGGAAGCTAGTCTACTTGTGCCGTTTTGCATGAGGCCACAATCTATTTATGACTGTAGACTGATACTGTAGAGGTGATTTGGAGAAAGCGGATTTTAACATGGTACCTTCTGGTTGTTTCACATAGCGAACTGGAAATCACCATGTTGGATAAATCATCATAAATCCGCTAGAAATGGACCATTTTCATCCATTTTCCATAGCCACCTGTTCGGTAAATCATCAATCATCGAACTAATAGGCCATGGCTTCCAGGGCCGCCTGCTAAGACATGTTAAGACCCAGCGGGTAGACCTCAGAAAAACGGCAGGGCTGGCAGCTCATGGTCTGGCAGCATCGTCGAAAGAATCACGCCATGCGGCAAGGTGCCAATGATGGGTTAGGACCTGTCAGGAGTCAAAGACTTGGGACATTTACGCACCACAAAAAGTACGAAGGGTTTCATTGAGCCCTTTTTCCGAAATAGCTTGGTTGATTGAGGCGGGTGATCCCTCCACAATTGGTAAATAGTAAGAAATTGTGTTCAACCGGCCGATCTATTCTGGGTGGGTGGAATGGGATAGGGTGGAGAGAGGTACCCTCTAGTAACCCAACCTGGTCCCGACGAAAACGATGGGAATCTTCCACTACCACTGTAGAAAGTTGCTGCAGGAATCACCCATTCATGTGCAGCAGTCCCATGGAGTTTATGTGAAATACATTGAAATATATACTATATATGGGGGTTTCCATAAATGGGGGTACCCCCATAGCTGGATGGTTTATAAATGGAAAATACCTTTATAAAATGGATGATTTGGGGGTACCACTGTTTCAGGAAACCTCCACATGTTCAAATCGGGATGGGTTGCTGCAATACCGAATCGGAGCATCGTAATGGGGGAATGAGACCCTTGAACATGTGCCTGTTTTGGGAGGGGCTATTTCACATTACACGGGTTCTTTTCCGTACCCACTTGTGTATACCCAGATAGTTAATCGCGTCCAGGCTATTTTGGTGGATGCAACTGAAGAACATGGTAGTTGATCTTTAAAGATGGTCAAGTCACACTGCAGAGGGTATCACTGGAACCCTACATGGGGACAGGTCTCATTATACCCTCGCGGGACATTGGGTCTGATGATGGCTTTCTTGTCAAATATAGGGCTGTTTTCAAATTTCCAGGCCAAATTGATGCTTTTTGCACCTTATTACGTACAGGTCCAGATTCCAACTTGATGTATCTATATAGATAGCTAGATAGCTAGCTAGATAGCTAGATAGCTAGATAGCTAGATAGCTAGATAGCTAGCTAGATAGCTAGATAGCTAGATAGCTAGCTAGATAGCTAGATAGCTAGCTAGATAGCTAGATAGCTAGATAGCTAGACAGCTAGATAGCTAGATAGCTAGATAGCTAGCTAGATAGCTAGATAGCTAGATAGCTAGATAGCTAGATAGCTAGATAGATAGATAGCTAGATAGATAGATAGATAGCTAGATAGATAGATAGCTAGATAGATAGCTAGATAGCTAGATAGCTAGCTAGCTAAATATAGGGATCCATTGATGCGGGGATCATGGTTGGGGTATTGAATAGTATTGATATAAATCTGCAGCATATAATGCACATACAACATATACTTTTGCAATATCTAATGAATGATATTATATAGATATAATTATTGAATATGCGATCCCTACAGTACATATATATGTATATATATACATATATCTGGTTGGTGGATTGGAACATTTTTTGTTTTTCCATATATTGGGAACAATCATCCCAAGTGACTTTCGTTTTTTTTTTCAGAGGGATTGAAACTACCCAACAGTATATTATATATATATATATCTGGGTAAATTATAACGACCTCACTGCGACCTCACTGGGAATCATGGTTAAGAAGGGGAATCATCCCCAAATGGCCGAACTGTTCAGGTTGGTGAAATATTATTTCATTTACCCAGATAAATATTAATTTTCCACTAGCCAAATAGCCTGTAGGAAGAGCCCAAGACTGGATTCAACCCTGTCAGGTCTAAGAGCCGTTGCCCGATGGGAGGAGCAGCAGAGGTGTGCCCTCCAAACGCCAAGTTAGTTGAGGGACATCACTAGGTTAACTAAGATTTATGGTAGATATAGATGGGGTTTATGAACCAACTTATAGCTGTGACACCACCTTGGAGACCTTGTAGGAGTTCATTTGTGCAACAAACATCTGGGAATTTCATTGGTTTAGCATGGTTTAGCCAAGCAGAAATACGGACATTTCATGCAAAATTGATCCAGATTGCCATATCTTATCATTATTGCAAGACTCGGCTCTCTAGGTTCTGCTATTGATCCAGGTCTCGGAAAGGGGCCTTTAGAATGGCTCAGGTGGAGGGAGAAACCCATTCCAATGTACCCATCATTCAAAAACAATGGAATCGCCGGTCGTTACATTCCCCAACAATGTAAGTATCAATCTTAGGGACGACCCAAGAGTTATACCTCCATTATATACATAGCCCAATAGCCCAATCATACCATGGGATTCTCCACGTTTTTGTTTCTCCATCAGCGTTCCAGGTCCGTGATACTCCTCGAATGGACTCGCGTGACGCGCCAGCGGAAGGTGCGGCAGCTGATGGTGAGTTTGTTGGCACCTCCAGGAATCAACCAGATAAACAAAAAGTATAAAGTTGAATCCTAAGATAGTGATGATTTTAACGATTTTAAGCTGTTCTAGTTGTTTGTTTTGGGGGTTACTATTTCTGAAAATAGATCACGTTTCTTGTTAACGCCAGCATGAGTGGTGCTGGTTCAATATTTATCTGGAAGTTGAGGTGGTGGATCCCTCAACATCCTGACGAAGCCTAGGGGGTGTAGAGGATGGGATGTAGATGATTGGGGTGTAAACAAATGCGTTTGTTCTTTTTCAAAGGCTCTCTAGATCACCGAAACAGCATGTTTTGCAAAGGCACGATGGGATATGGAGGTTTCCTGAAATAGGGGTACCCCTGAATCATCCATTTTAGATTGGGATTTTCCATGAAAATAACCATCCAGCTATTGGGGTACCCCCATTTATAGAAACCCCTATATAATGATATATGTGTGGACCACGTCCCCTGCATCTCTAGTGCAGGCTGAGGAGCTTCTGCGCTGCAAAGGTGAACGAAGGCCGCTTGCTTTGCGGCTGCCGAGCACGTGGGGGTTTGGGGATGGTTTGAACCCCCCTATGTAAGGTGATACCCTCTGGTAATGACTAACATAGCTATTGAACATGGCCATAGAAATAGTGGATTTTCCCATTGAAAATGGTGGATCTTTCCATAGTTTTTTGTATGTTTACCAGAGGGTATGTAAGGTGATACTTTTGTTGGGTGGCTTAGAGTTCGGCTTCCTGCGTTGCAGAGTGGTGGAATTCTTCGCAAGCGAAGTGGGTGGCTCAAATCATGCAGGGTCAATGACTGCTTGGAGAGCACGGTGAAACCTATAGGGATGATCCAATATGATCCAATCCGTAAATATATGATATACAGATCATCATAGATACAATGTGAGGCCCCCAAGATATCTAAGTTGGTTTATAACTCCAACAACTGTGGTTTATGGTACTTATAACTATAGTTACTGGGGCTTATAAACCAACTTATAACTGGGGGGCCTCACATTGTATTATATATCCATAAATTCATAAATATACTAAATATATCCAATCCATATAGATATATAATTCAATACATCATCATTCATGTAGTACCCTCTGGTAAACGGTTTCAAAAAATGATGGAAAGATCCACCATTTTATAGCCGGGTAAATCAACTATTTCTCTGGCAATGTTCAATAGCTTTTGGTATGTTTACCAGGCCGGGTAACTATTAACCATTAACCATAGATTATCCATATATTAACCATAGATTAACCATTTATAGATGGTTTACCCAGTCATACCATATATAAGGCCTATTTTTCAGGGCTAAATTTCAGGGAATATCCCCACAAAATACGGCCAAAGATATGGTACGTTTACGTACCTCCATGTATTGGATCCTGGAGATCTCCCATTGACCAGAGGGAAAATGGGACTTACCCTCTGGTAAACTAACATGACTATGGAAAATCACCATGTTTAATGGGAAAATCTACTATAAATGGTGGATCTTTCCATAGCTATGTTAAATTACCAGAGGGTAAACCTCCATTTTCCTATGGTTTTCCTATGGTTTTCCCACATAAAAAAACTACCAGAGGGTAATTCACCACATAAAAATCCGGCCGCGAGGCGCATCTTCGCGGAGCGCCGCTTTCAGGCGTCTGGCAGCCCAGGATGGGAGAGGGATTAAGCCCTGTCCTTTCGCGAGGTTCGAAACGTTTAAGGATGGCGTCATGGGAAATCTATGGGAAAATATGGGAAATCTAGGGAAAATCTATGGGAAATCTATGGAAAATCTATGGGAAATCTATGGGAAATCTATGGGAAAATCTATGGGAAATCTATGGAAAATCTATGGGAAATCTATGGAAAATCTATGGGAAATCTATGGGAAATCTATGGGAAATCTATGGGAAATCTATGGGAAAATATGGGAAATCTATGGAAAATCTATGGGAAATCTATGGAAAATCTATGGGAAATCTATGGGAAAATATGGGAAATCTATGGAAAATCTATGGGAAATCTATGGAAAATCTATGGGAAATCTATGCAAAATCTATGGTAAATCTATGGAAAATCTATATGGGAAATCTATGGGAAATCTATGGAAAACTATGACTGGTTGGTGGTTTGGAACATTTGGATTGATGTTTCCACATATTGGGAATAATATATAATCCCAAGTGACGAACTCATATTTTTCAGAAGGGTAGGTATACCAGCAAGCAGTTATGTCTCTTTCATGTATATTATGCATACTTGGCTTCGGATGGGATGGTTTTGGTGCATCAGCTGTTGAGCCGGAAGCGACTGAGCCATCAGAGGATGTGGTGCTCTTTTCGATGTGGTGCCGCACCACTCCGCACCACCCAGCCTGACATGCAGCAAGTGCGAAGCTTCGGCCCTGGTGGAGCACCTTGCTGGAGGGGCAGCGACCGGCTGAGGGCCGGAGTAGCCCCTCTGATTCACCGCCGAGTCAGTGAGGTATAGTGAGGTTACAGCATCGGAGAGAAAAAGCTCGTAGATGGCTTTTAGGTCAGTCATGGTCAGTCATTTTTGTCGGACATTGTCGGACATAGACACATACACGAGGCATGCGATTTTCCACAAACTCAAGACCCCAAGCTGCTTTAAGCAAAAGTCACCATCTTTGGGCCCCTCTGGTTCTCAAACTTCAAACCATCTCAGCCCTGCCTTGATCCACCGGATCGAATAACATACCCTCTGGTAAACTAACAGGACTATGGAAAATCATCATTCTTAATGGGAAAATCCACTATTTATATGGCCATGTTCAATAGCTATGTTAGTTTACCAGAGGGTAAGTCCCATTTGATCACCATTAAACCACCATTATTAATCACCATTTTCCTAGTGGTTAAATCACCATTTTCCTATGGTTTTATAGTAGAATCACCATAAAATCACCATAAAAATCACCATAAAATCTGAGCTCCAAAAAAGTTTAGCACCACAGGGATGACCCAGGGACCCAGCTCCACCGAGTTGCTCCACACAACAGCTGTGTTTGGCCTGGGATGCCTGGCGCGGATCTCTTCGGAGTGCTGCGGAACGTTTGGGGCGCCCACTGGGATTTTATGGGTCGGGGTGTGGTTTGAAAAAACCACTGGGACAGAGGTTTGTTGGTGGGCCATGGGGTAAATTTGGGATTCTTACTGGGAATTGCTGGTGACTTTTGTGTAGGAAATGATCCGTTGCTTTGTAGAAGCTGATCAATTTGAATTCATGGCCTTTTGAGAACGGGAGTGTGACTGGCGCACGCCATTTTTTGATGTTCTGGAACCTATTCCATGTTCTACTGTAGCAGAACAAATGTTGAGTAAGATGGTAACTAGATGGCAAACCATCCGAGTTTTCTTTTATTGTCGTTGGTTCACTCCACATGTATGTTGCTTAATTTCCAATTTCTATTATTTGAATCCTCCACTTGTGGTATTTGAAACCGCATTTTGTAGTTAAATCCTTCATCTTCGGAAATTTGGATCTCATTTTCGTTAGTGCACATGAGTCACGGCAAACACTCCGGCAATAGGAAACATCGAATGGACATGGGTTTTCCAGAATTGGATACCCTCTGGTAAACACACAAACAGCTATTGAACATGGCCATAGAAACAGTTGATTTACCCATTGAAAATGGTGGATCTTTCCATAGTTTTTTGTATGTTTACCAGCGGGTAAACATGAAGTAAGCGATGAGACCTTCCCAAACGTGTGCGTCCTCAAGGCCTGGCACGCGTCCAACGTGCCTTGTTGGTGGGGAACGAACGTCTGGAAGCTGTGGCACTGGTCATGACGTTGGGAGACCCAGACGTTGGACGCTGGGACGTCATGTATGACTTTAGTTCGGGATTCTCGTGATGAATTTTTGATGAACACATTAATTCTGGTATTTGGAGGTTTCCTAAAAATGGGGGATCCCCAAGTCACCATAGGTTTCAATACTAAACTTGTCAAATTGGGATAATTTTGGGGTACGCCCACTTTAGGAAACCTCCATTTATATACTTCATTTGCCAACTGAATTTGATGAAGGTGAGTACACGCATCCTGTCATGAACTGAGGATGGTTTAAGTTGCTGGTGACTTGCTTCTGACATCTTCTGACTATCCATTGGGAGGGTTTTGTAGATTGGATCGCGGCATATCAAAGCCTAGTACCCGGTCTTTTTTTTACATCTACATAGCTGCTGCTCTTGGATGTTGAACTGTTGATCTCTCCATGCATAACTATTTAAAAGTCAGAGATTTTGACGCGTCCCATTCTTCGTTGCTTCCGCCTTCGTCAATTCGTTTTTACATGGTTTATATCCCATTTTTGGTGCATAAATTCGTAGTTGGGTGCGTCTGCAAATGAGTATTATATATCCCATTTATGGCCGTTTGGATAAGGAAATTCATAGGAAATTGCATGAACTTGATGATTGGTCTCGTGGATTGCGTCTTTTACCCGGAGATCAATGATATCATCGGTTATCATCTAGTACATCTTGATTACTATAATGACATTTAAACATATTTTAAACATCATGAATTTCTGCAGGGTTCTTGACCCATCCCCAGCTTTTTCCTTGGATACCCTCTGGTAAACGGTTACAAAAAACTGTGGAAAATCACCATTTTCAATGGGTAAATCAACTATTTCTATGGCAATGTTCAATGGCAAACTGTTAAATTACAAGAAGGTATTCCCCCAATCAACCAAAGAATTGGTTATTAACTCCATAAATCAACCATAGAATTGGTTATTAACACCATAAATCAACCATAGAATTGGTTATTAAGTCCATAAACCAACCATAGAATTGGTTATTAACACCATAAACCAACCCTAGAATTGGTTATTAACTCCATAAACCAACCATAGAATTGGTTATTAACACCATAAACCAACCCTAGAATTGGTTATTAACACCATAAACCAACCCTAGAATTGGTTATTAACTCCATAAACCAACCCTAGAATTGGTTATTAACACCATAAACCAACCCTAGAATTGGTTATTAACACCATAAACCAACCCTAGAATTGGTTATTAACACCATAAACCATGGATATTCTATGGCTATGTTAGTCATTACCATTTCGGGTACCACGGGGCGACCAACAGGGGCCATGGCACCTTTGGCTCAAAGCCGGCCCTGGCTCTTCAGCCCTCCGGCGGTGCTCAAGTGGTGCCATGATGGAGGGAGTGAGCCAGGCCAGGCCAGGGCGCAGAAAAAAATACCTTGGGCACTGTTCAAAACAACATTAGGGTAGGTATACCACCAACCAGTAGCTATGGGAGTACAATCATCATATAGCCAATCATCATATAGTACAATCTCTGGTTGGTGGTTACAAAGATTTTTTATTTTCCATTTCATGTATGGGATACTCCTGCTTAATCATGATTAATAATGGTTGATAATGGTTAATAGTGGGAGAATATAACTGGTTGGTGGTTTGGAACAGCCGTGGGCTCTACACCTACCAGCAGGTGCGGCCGTGCCCTGCTGATCGTAGAGCGTTTCGTTCACCGTGTTGTGCCATGGATCGTCATGGATCTTGCTGAAGTTGACGCTGGAGGTAGCTCTCTGATGTGGTCATGGTGGTCTTTGATCCTGTGCATGTGCGCCACTTGGTCCTCTGTCCGTGATGGGACTGGTCTGGTGCTTACTGGCCTCTTGGATGGAGCTCCTGAAGTGCTCACTCTGCTGGATGTTGTCCTGGTGCAGCAAGTCTCTATTCCGTTGCTGAAGGTGGATGATGGTACTAAGGTGTTGTTTCACTCACTGCATACCTGGGAGGACTTCTTCAAACTGGTCGATGCTTGCTGCGGGTTTGGTGGTCCTACACATGGGGCCCATGCCGTTGGTGTGCAAACCATGGTTGCTGTTGACTCTAGTGCCCGTATGGTGACCTTACACAAGGTTCATGGAGGATGTGAGTATGTGATCGGTGATGCTGGCTGTCCCCAGGTGATCGCTGGAGTGTGGTCCACGTGTAATCATGCTGCGGTGAAGAGTGTGGGATTTTCATGTCAGCCGTTTTCGCAGTTTGGTGATCGGAAAGGAGGGGCAGACCCTTGTGCTATGTCCCTTCCTAACAACCTCAGAGCTGCTCCGTCTCAGCGTGTTCATGGTTTGGTGCTTTCATGCGTTGTCCCTGCATGCAGAGATCCGTTCGTCTCACAACACCTTGATAGGTTTGTCGACTGGTCTGGATTTGTGAAGGAGAACATCATCCTTGAGCTCTCTGCTTTTGGTCAAGTACAACCGTTGATGCAGAACCAAACACAGATTGACGGGCAGTTTCTGGAGTTCACCCACCATCAGTCTCAACAAGTTTCGAATCTACAGGCCCTGATGCAGGCCCCGTCTCAACACTTTTACGGACAAAGTGAGACCCAGTATCAGTGCATCCAGGCTATGTTTGAGAATCAGCTTTCTCATATACGTGGCTTGTTGCGGAAGCGACTGAGAGATGATGGTGAATGTTGGGGTGGGCCTGAACTGCATGGCCCTCACAGTGGTATGATGATGATGGGGTCTTGTTGTGCCGTGTGGGTACTTGCTGCTCTGATGCCCTTCTACCAGTTTTTGGGGTTTGTGTCAACTGCCTTTTCCGTCGGGGCCGGCCCCTGTGTCTGGTCTTGGTTGTTTACGCTGTTGATCTTTTTCAATGTTTGTTGGCTTGGAGAGACATCGTCTCCAGGTCCGGTTCAGGCTTTGCTGCCGTCTTGACCGTAGAGTCGCCACAGTCAAAGCACTGTCTTCCCAACCCAAGACAGTGCGATACACAAAGCGGTACAAAGTGGTGGTTTGGAACATTTGGATTATTTTTCCATAGATTGGGAATGTCATCATCCCAAGTGACGAACTCATATTTTTCAGAGGGGTGGCTCAACCACCAACCAGTGATTCATGATATATGATCAATATGATGATTCATATTTTTATGGGCCACAAGAATGATTGATGATTAGTTGACAATTACTTCAGGGAATATACTCTACCCAATATAACATGATATAACTTTTGGGGATTATCACAATGAATTATGGTCCAACAAGGAGAATTTACTTAAAAAAAGATCTTTGTGTTTGTCCAGGAATCTCGAGATTCCTCAAAATTCCGTACGTTAGTTTCTGGTTTCTTCGGACCTATATTAGGGTTGGCAAAAGTCGTAAGGGTTTCTTCCTTTCATTATTATGATATATTATGTTATCATTATAAATC